GTTTGAAGGAGGTTCCAGTTTTGCAAGAGCAGGGGGAGGGGCGATGTTCCGAGGCGAACAGCACGAGCAGTGAGAGGGAGCAGCCCCGCTCCGGTCTGCCAGGTGGGCCCTCCGGGTCCGTGCATCGCACCTGCAATGCTGACGCCAGGGACCTGCAGTGCCGGAGCCTAGGAGCCCACTGGTTCTTGGGGGCAGGGGTCACGTGGAGCCTAGGAGCCCACTGGTTCTTGGGGGCAGGGGTCACGTGGAGCCTAGGAGCCCACTGGTTCTTGGGGGCAGGGGTCACATCGAGCAGGGCCCGGCCACCCTCCCCTGTAGGGGCACAAGGCCGCACCACAACCACTCACCTCTGCGGCGGCGCCCCCAAAGCAGGCACAGATGTACAGACAAGTGTGCTCCAATCACCCTTCCCTTACAAAACGGGTGCGCCGCCGCTGGCCACCGTCTGCAGACCCTCGCCCGAGAGGGTTTCCACCTGTGCCTCCTTGGCTGGCCCTGGAGAAGGTAACCACCTGCTGGCAGGGCACGTGGTTAAACCTAGTCCTCGGCCTTCATTTCCCACGTGAACCACGAAACACAACGTGGAGACCCCGAGAGGAGCCGCCAGGGTCCGGGAGACTCGGGTCGGAGACCCCGAGAGGAGCCGCCAGGGTCCGGGAGACTCGGGTCAGAGACCCCGAGAGGAGCCGCCAGGGTCTGGGAGACTGGGGTCGGAGACCCTACCCCCCCTCATCTCCAGCGGCTCCGAATCCACCCAAGCAGCTCTGCTTCCCACACCCAGTGGTGATTTCAGCGAGGATGGGAGAACTCGGGGTGTGGGGGGGGCAGGGTGGTTAGTGTCGGAGCGCCGAGCTGTTAACTGGGCGCTGCCACCTCCCTGCCTGGCACACCCGCAGCCCGCGCCCGGCGGGCACACAGCACCCGGCTGGTGTCTACTCGTCAGACAGCTCAGGGAGGGCGCAGCGAGCCTCCTTCTTAGTTGTTATAGCAACAAAGGAGACTGCAGAGGCACGGGGGAGCCCACGTCCAGAGCTGCCGTTCTGCGTCCCCTTCCCGAGTGACCACGCAGGATCGCATTCTTACCTGTCTGAGGTCCAGGGCTCCTGGCATGCCCGCTCTCCCTGACTCCCGGGGCCGTGCTGCTTAACAAGGCCTCACTGAGCGCGCCAGGGGCCAAGCCTCACCCGCCGGCATCTCTCCATTTGCACCCCCCTGGCTCCGCTGTAACGGGGAGGTACACCCACCTGCGTGGGGAGCCTGGAGGGGCTCCACCCAGACCTACCGAGGCAGCCTCTTTGGCAACATCAGACACCTGGAGGTCGGGGAGGAGCAGGTGGGTGCGCCGCCCGTGGCCCAGGTGCAGGCACACCACCGTCACCGGGTCCCATCGGGGCTGCGTGAGACACCAGGGACTGAGCCAGGACGCTGCCTGCCAACCCGCTGTCCACGCCCATCAGACGGGCAGCCTTGCCTCCGACACTGAACCCAAAGAACAAGCCTCGGTGTGAGCGGGAAGAACTGAGATGTCTTCGCTGCGATCTGAAAGTGGATGTTTTATTCTGGAACCACAGGGTAGAAGATTTTGTTAAGAGTCGGGACAGCCCTGGCGTGTGCGGCTCGGTGGGTTGAGCATCCATCGTCTGGGTTGACCTCCAAAAGGTCACTGGTTCGGTTCCAGGTCAGGGCCCTGCCCAGGTTGCAGGTTCGATCCCCAGTCGGGGTGCATGCAGGAGGCAGCCAATCAATGTTTCTCTCTCACATTGATGTTTCTCTCTCCGTCTCCCCCTTCCTCTCTCTCTAAACTCAATAAAAACATATTTAAAAAACCAACAACAACAGTTGGTACAGTATTTGCCTCCCAAAGTCACAATTGTCCCAAAGAGAAACCATAGCATGTCTCCTTGTAGAAGGGTGCGTCCTCTCCGTCCCTCTGTTCCTGAGCGGTAGCTGAAGGGCGGAGCCTGGAGGGGCACCGGACGGCAGCCCCGGGTCGTTTCTTCACGCTGTCTCCGGGAACAGCTAGCAGACCGCCTGGCACATCCAGACAGACCGGGTAGCGCTTGGGGACGCATGAGTGACTTCAGAGCCCCGAGCCGCCCCACGGGGGAAGGCTTTCTCACAGGTCCTTCCTCACCGGGCGAAAGGTCCTCCCCGCACCGGTCTGGGGGTGCAAAGGGGAACGTGGAACGCACTCCCCTACCCCCCGCCCGCCACCTGCCCACGGGGTCGTTGGTCTCAGCATGCAATTAGAGGAGAAACAGCAACTAGGTCTACGAAGAATTCCGTAGTTTAGTCCCCAGGTGGCAGTTTCTCTGCGGTGTTGGCGTAAGAGCTTTAGGGTGTAGTGTGTGTGCACACCCACCACCGCGCTGAGAGACGCTCCTGCCCACACCAGTGTGTGCACCACTTACGGTTAGCGATTAGGAAAACAAAGACAATCGCTTCCAATCATGCTTCCCCTTAGTGAAGGCCAGCACGCCCCCCACCGGGGATTGGGCCCACAACCTGGGCATGTGCCCTGAGTGGGAATTGAACCAGTGACCTCCTGGTGCATGGGTCGATGCTCAACCATTGAGCCACACCAGCTGGGCCTTTCCAATAAACTCTTAAAATTGTTAATGTGCCCCAGTTTGTTTGTTTTTTAACAGAGCTAAGAGATGTTAAGCATATTGTTTAGATTATTAAAACCCCATCAGGCTCAGTTTCCTCATCTGTAAAATGGGAACAGCAGTTATGCATACCTTCCAGAGCTGTGGAGGGGATTCAGTAAGACGATACAAGTAAAACCTGGCGTAGTGCTGGACAGTACACACGCGCTGAGGATAATCTAATAGAACACGAAGTCTTTGTGTGTGTGTGTGTGAATGTTTCTTGTTCTTAAAGTCCTAAAGAAGGTTAACTACATTCAGCAACATTTCTTTACGCAGTCATTAGATTTAGACTTGCTTCGGCAGGTCTGACTTTATTAAAATCATAATTATTTCTGTAATTCCATTTCTTTTATCTATGTCTTCAACTTAGACCTGCCTGTGGGCTGCCAAGGCCCAGGGACTCGGGAAGGACCTCAGAAGAGAAAGGAAATAAAAAGAGCCAGACAGTGTCAGGAAACGGAACAGCGAGCAAATGAGCGACCGTGTGTGGCAACCGAATTTCTGTTTGGGAACAGGTACGCACCTGGGAGGAGGGGGCACTAGATGGTGCGAACAGTCGCTAAAACACACGCATTCCAGCAAAGCCATTAGCACCAAGTCATTGACATCTGCTTGATCCACCAATGAATTCTTAGCTCGGTGCAACCCCTCCCCCCACAGGAAACCGTCCCAGGTAACTCAGACCCGGGGGGTGCTAGCTGGGCAAACCTGGATTTTAGCAGGACCTTTGGGGATTCATGGGTCCGTCTGAATTGTGGAAAACTGTATACTTTTTGGAAAAAGCACAGATAAAAATAAACCTATTGCCCTGGCCAGGTAGCTCAGGGAGAGTGTCATCCCGATACGCCAAGGTTGTGGGTTCAATCCCCAGTCAGGGCACATACAAGAATTAACCAATGACTGCAGAAACAAGTGGAGCAGCAAATCAATGTTTCTCTCTCTCTCTCTCTCTCTCTCTCTCAAAATCAATCAATTTTTTTTAGGAAGAAAGAAACCTTTTTATGGCCCTTTGTTAGGAAGAAAGAAACCTTTTTATGGCCCTTTCTTGGACATTAGCAAAATTAATTTTATTTCCAAAATAATATTTTCCGGTGAAAAAAAAAAAATCAGAATTTTGGAAGGCCCCAGCCCCATGCCTGGTGCTGAGAAAATATATAATCGGTATTAATTTGCCTCCTTTGGAAAGAATTCGATTCCTAGGGTGGACGTTTGTTCCTGTATCCGTCCATTCGAGGTGTATTTTTCGAGCGTGAGCCACGAGTCTAGCATGATTCTCGGCCTGGAAATGACGCGCCAGCAAAGGAGAATACAGCCATCCCGCCAAGGTGGAACTTAAGATCCACAGCAAACCTTCTTAAAAAGTGTAATTATGTCCCGCGAAACACACTTCCCCTGAAACATTATTCACTGCGTCTCTGAAGTTCCAACATGACTGGGTGTCCTGGGTTTAGCTAGCAGCACCACTATAGAGTCGATGCCTCGACAGACACCTGCTCTCTCTCCAGCCTAAGGGTCCCCCAAGCGTCCGTTCCCAGTGGGTAGCCCCTCTTCACAAGCACATGGCCCTGGGGGCCCACTTAGCAGACGTCGCTCTGAATGGCAACCGTATTTCCTCGTGGAGCTGCTCTGTAGTCAGGGCCTTGGAGGTGGGCACTGGGCCCATCCAGCACCGGCCCGAACCGGCAGGTGGCAGACCACTTTGGTGACCGAGGGCCAGAACCAGTGCGCCCACGCCCCGGGAGGAAGGCCCTCGCATCCCTCCCGCGACACCGAAACGTGAACCCGCTCGCCAGGAGCCAGACCGCATCTGGGTACAGAAGGATCTTTTATTTTAAAACGTGTGAGGCAGGTACTTCGAACAAAAGAGAGGCTTTCGGAAAAGGGACCAGGGACGACTGCGTGAGAGACGGTCAGCCTGTCAGGAAGACCGGAGGGTCCTTGGAAAAGTTTCTCTCTTAACAGAATAAGTGACAGTGAGTCGAAGCACCGGAACTAATGGGGACACAATCAGGTGGGACTGCCGGCCGCTGCCCTGCCCCGGGTGGGCCACTGAGGCAGGGGGCACGGAGACAAAGGGGGGCCACCCTGTCGCCGGCGCCACTGCGGTGCAACGAGAACACGGGGCGAGTCACGAGAGCCCACGGGGGACAGACTGCGGACGGGGGACACGCTGCCTACAACTCCCACTGTGCGGCAGTGACACCTCTCGTCCGCGCGGTGAGGGGACACGAAGTCTCTATCTGGCGGAGCGCATGAAGTTACACTAAGGGTTTTTGTTTTTGTTCTGTTTTTTTTTGTTTGTTTTTTACAAAAAGAAAAAAGGAGAAAAGAAAGACACAGATTGCATTGCTGTCTCCCGGCGACCACGCCATCAGCCAGCACTGGGAGCTTTTCCTCCGTCCTCCTGGGCCATCGTCCGGTGACCTCCCGGGACGTGGCACCGCAAGGTGTCGCTCTGCCGGCCGCCGGTCCCTGTCAGTGCTCGGGGCGGTAGGCGGGGAAAGTCTCTGTTCGATGGAGCTTCAGAGGACTGGACACATCTGTTCCGAAAGAGAATGTTAAGACAGCGGTTACCCGTGCGCCAAGAAAGCCCGCCCTCGGAATACTGGGGACAAGTGTCTCGGGAACAACATGAGCGGCCTGTGACCCGGAACTGTTTCCAGAGGCCACTCACAGTGATATGCAAATCAGACACGGGGGAGACCGGTTAACCCACCGCCGGCCTTTGCACGAGCTCTAATCCGACCACCGATCATTTGCCCGTGTTTCGTTCTCACTGACTCCCAGGGCATCAGGGAAACGAGGGGATGGGCTCGTGGGACTGGGGGAACTCGGCCGGGACGCTGAAACCGGCCCAGGAATCAGGCGGTGCCACACGCAGTACGCCCAGGAGATCTCGCTGCAAGAGGACTTCTTGAAATCCACTTGGCCTGTACTGTTGCAGGGTTAGGTTCCAACCGAGGAAGTGGAGAAGCCAGGCAGGTGACACCCGGGGACACCGTCAGCCCCACAGTGACCCACGGGGGATGGCAAGCTTTCTCTGTGCAGACCCCAGTGTGAAACGTCTTAGACCACACGGTCCCCTTGCACCTCGGCTGCCTGGGACGCAAAGACGGCCACAGTTCACAGGGATCCAACGCATGGGCCTCGGTGTTCCCCAAATCAGAGAGAGGCTGGAACCCCCAGCAGGCCCTAAGCTTCCCAGTCTCTGCAGAGAGAGCCCTTGATTTTATAAAGATCACAGGCTTTACTGCCACCTGCTGGTGAAGGTTTCCGGGAGCCAAGAAATGGACCCCGGGTGTGTGGAACGCGGAGCTGAGCTCAGTGCTCCAGGGAACCAGATGTGGGGGCCAAGCTAGCAGAACCCCAGGGAGAGAGAGCACCTGGCTGAGTGGCATGCCTGCCCCGCCCGGTCACATGCAAGCAGAAAGCCGATGGAGGCCTAGGGCCCTGAAGTTCATTCCCAGCCCACGATCAAATGATCAAGTAGCCCCGAGCTCTGGCAGACCTCAGCCCAAGCCCCCCTCCCGATACACCAAGGATCTGCTGCACCGAGGAGTCACAACACCCAAACATAAAGAAAACAAAAATCACGGACTCGGGTACCCGCGTGCCTCCAATCTGAGCCAGAAGAACACGACACAGCCTGTCAGAGAAATCCTGAATATTAAAATATCCTGCGCCCCTAGCCATCCCTTCCTCCCACCTCCCGGCCATAAGGAACATGAACTCTATTCTCTCCCTCACACACACACGTACACACACGCAATCGCGGAGAGAAATTGTGTTCGTGAGTTTTACTACGAGCGAAGACCAGGTACAGCTTTGTCACGGCCGGTAAATCTCCTGCAGGAGGTGGGCAGCGGGCGAGCAGCGTTGACATGAAACCCAGCTCCCCGGTCAAGTGCAGGTCATCCAGCTCCCCGGTCAAGTGCAGGTCTTTCTCTGAACCGCGACTGCAGCCCCTTAGACTCCCCGAGTTTGCAGGGAGAGTGGCTGGTGGCATTCACGTGGGGTCAAGCCGAAATAAAAACACCTGCAGCTTCTGCCGTGACGGCTCACTGAATCTCCCCAGCTTGCTTTGAAGGCTGTTTGTAGCCTAAAGCCAGGACGAGGATGGAAAGATGTTCTTAGGTTTCTTGCAGGTCACAGAAAGGTCACAAGCCGGCACCGGCCGGTGGCCCATCTGGGCGCAGACCTGTTCTCTGGCCGCCACAGGTCACGAAACTCTTGGACTTGCTCATGACTATTTAAGAAGCTAGATTTCCCACAAAGGTGTTCATTCCCCTGCCCTCTTGTAAAACTGGACGGTGACACTGGACAGGGTCCCGCCACCGCACCACGGACTAGAGGGGACTGCAAACTGCCCTTTGCAAATGAGGCCCGTGGGTCACCAGGGACCCACTGCTCCCGTACCTGCCCTGTTTCCCCTTCAGCATGTCCCTCCGGCCCCTACAGATAGGCAACTCTGCTTTGGCATCTTCTCGCATTGGCTCAGACCTTAACCTATGGCTCTGTCTTAACTGCCGCACGTACGATGGTTGTGACTGTTAGAATTGATGCTGAAAATCCCATGTTAACTTCTCCAAAGTAGTCACATGCTCCGAGCATCTGTCGTCCTTAAAACACGTGTGAGTCGCATGGGCTGGAACCAGTCCGGTGGGGGAGCTATGCCCATAGCATGGCATGTGCCTGTGAGACACGCGTGGTGGCAGGATTTCTGCCCGCAGGTAAGGCCATCGGATACGAGCAGCAGCGGGGCTAGGCGTGGGAACACTGGTGTCCCAGTGCCACCTGCCACGCTCACGCCGCGTGGTCCTGAGCAGCTACTGACCGCCAAGTGTCTGGGTTTCTGCCTTCATTGAAACAGAGAACATAGTCCCGCTCCTACCAACTCAGACTGTTGCCAGGAGAACCAAACAGCACCCGGCTCTCTCCTAATAAAGCCCCTTATGCACCAGCTACACTGTCTGCTTTCTGCTCTGTGAACCTCCCAGCGGGTTTCTGTCTCAGGATCTTTGCACTTGCTGATGTTGCTAGACAGACTGATTTTTTCCCTCACTCTCAGGATGGCTGCCTCTTCTCAGACTTCAGGTCTTGGGATAAATGCCACAGCCTCCTGTGACCACCCCATTTAAAGAAGTTCCCTTGCCCAGCCGGGTGGCTTGGTGGTTGAGCGCTGACCCATGCACCAAGAGGTCATGGGTTCAACTCTCGGTCAGGGCACATGCCCAGGTTGTGGCCCTGATCCCCAGTGAGGGGCATGCGGGACGCAGCTAATCGATGTTGTCTCTCATCAATGTTTCGCTCTCTCTCTCCCTCTCCCCTCCTTTCTCTCTAAAACCAATAAAGAAAAAAAAATTATTTTAATAAAAAAAATAAAGAAGTTCCCTTATCATCATCCCCACCCCAAACTAACAGCTCCGCCTCACTATTCTTTATAACAAACACTTTCTCTTCAAAGTGACATGTCAAGTGTGAAGTTAAACATATTTCATGAGTGACGGTGACCCTTCTGAGAGGGCAAACACCTGCCGGCCTGGTGGCTCCGGTGTAGCTCCGTCATCTAGCCCAGGGCTCGGCACGAAGGCCACGCTCATTCAACACCGACTAAACGCATGAGTGAGCGGATGAAGGAACGGAGAGATGGCAACCTCGGCTACTTACTAGATGGGTGACCTCGGACACATTAGTAACCCTTCAAACTTTCAGGTTCTTCGCCGCCGATGAGAAGAACACACTCTCCGGTGGCTGTTTTAAGAACAAATGAGATCACGTGTCTTAGGCACCTCCTGCAAAACCCACAGCGCAGCCGGTCCTCAAGAAGGCGCCGTGGCTTTAATAGAGACGCTCACTAGGTATGTCTTGTCTCCCTTGTAAGGAACAACCCCGGCCCTTCACTACTGGTATGTTACTTTTTATACAAAAGAGGAAAGAGGTTTCATTCAACAGGTTTGCACATCTCTGGTCTAAACAAAGTTAAATAGATTCTTGACTGCGAGACACCACCGGGCCTTGAAAATGTGGATTTGCATGCTGAACCCCAGAAAGGGGAATTAACAAGAAGCATTTACCCCAAATGTATTGGACTTCAGCACAGCGTTAAGATGACATAGAGCACCACTGGGAAAAGATGAGTCTGTGGTTACTTTATGCAACGAATTCCTAAAGGAATCTCGTGAAGACAGTGTCAACAGACACCTGTTGAATGCTTCTCTTTCATAAATGTCTTCCTCAGTTTTCACGCTAAACCTCCTCGACCTGTTGATGCTGTATATGTCTGACTGCAGAAGAGGATTTCTAGATGAAAGCCTGGAAATGGGACGGGAGGAGTGAACGGATTAAATACCTCTTAGTGTGCATCAGATCTAGCACCTTCCTCTCGCCACCAAAAACAGGAATAATAAAATTCAGTTCCAGGATTAACCAGCAGGTGGTGGCATAGGCCTAGATTTAGGGAGGGGTTGGAAAATTTCTGGCATCAGATCAATTCCCCCATCAGGGTGTGTGTGATCTCCAAGATTACATTAAAGTAGGAGAACCTGCCAGAGAAATTACAACTTATAAATACCTGCAAAACAAGAAGAAATTACACGTACCATAAAATTTCACCATGGGGCACACACAGGCCACGGTGATGTTAATTTTTCTTAATTTCAGTTTTTTTTTCTCCCCAGAGCATGGGGGAAGAGAAGAAGGAAGGCAGGTAACATAGGTGGAACAATAGATAAACTTACTCCATTTATCTGTCATGTAAATGCCCACCCCTGATAAACAAGATAATTTTAGATAGCCTGTGAACAATATTTTTGTAAGGCCGCAAATTACTGGAAAATCATGTCCCATACAACACAGCCACATATTGTCGCTGTCCCAAGGAACACTGGTGACCAGAAACAGTCCACAAGGTAAAATAAATGGGGTCAAATCTACAGAGGATGTTCGGGTGAGGGACTATCTCAGTAAACACCGGTACAAATTAAATAGCAAGACAAAATATTGACATGAGTTCCTGCATAAGAAAAGTGTGCAAAAATGAATCATTGGATGAAATACTTGGTACAAAACACAAAGCAAAGACACAATTGTGAAGTGATCACAATGCCTGTCTCAGGCACAGAAATATCCCCAGACCCCAGGCTCTTTCGTGGGGTATTACTGTGCAGACAAAACGGAAAATGTACGAATTCTACCCAAAATGTGCATGCTCAGTAAAGATCATAGTATGCAGCAAAAAAAAAAAAAAAGCCAACAATAGAAGTTTTCATTATCTTCTTCAAAACCCAGGACATGATTACCTTCAAAGCCCTGTAATTAGCCATCGCAAGGTACCGTCTCTACAGGATACTTTTTCTCGTCCTCCCTGCCCGACTCCTCAGAAACAAGCGCTGGCCCTCTTCAAACTATTCTTCGGTAAGTACCACCACCGTGTTGGTTTGAAACATCTAGACCAGTGAACTCGGACCCGATTTTACCGTAACACCTCCTTACTTTTGAGTGATGGATAAAAGGCTAATGAATAATAACCCTAACGTAAAGGGATGATGCCCAGATTTCATTTTGAGACGTCGTTTGGTTTGTGGCTTGCTATCTTCGGTAAAAACAGCAACAGGAACTCCTGGAAAAACGGGAATGTCTTCCTTTGCGGCGACGGTCTGGCCCTCGGGGCTCCACTTCCGTGGGTGACATCTCCTCATTTTGGAGATCGTGGATTACGGGTCCTTGAGGGTTAACCCAGTCCCGTCAGCTGTGTACGGGCCTCGTGGTCACAGCAGGGGCTTTGCGCATGAAGGCAAGCTTGCAAATTTCATTGCTGAAACACACACACACACACACACACACACACACGACTGTGTCTTATGCTGCAAAACAGATGTGTCCAGATGTGAACACTGTTGGGGGCAGTTGTAGATGCCCTAGGCTTATACAAACCACATGCTAACAGCATCTAAAACATCCTCTTTCAATTTAAAAGAGATTTTAAAAAATATTATTATGCAATCAGGGCCCTGATAAGACCCTTTGCCTTAAATGATTTCTCAGGAATGTATATTTATTTTGAATAAGGATAGTTGGATTGCCTGGCCCATGTGGCTAAGTGGTTGAGCGTCGACCATGCACCAAGAGGTCACCGGTTTGATTCCCGGTCAGGGCACATGCCCAGGTTGTGGGCCAAATCCCCAGTGCGGGGCGTGCAGAGGTGGCCGATCGATGTTCTCTCTCATTGATGTTTCTACTCTCTCTCCCTCTCCCTTCCTCTCTAAAATCAATAAAGAAAAAAAAAATTTTTAAAGGCTAGTTGGATTAGTTAAGAATGATAAAACGAGTATTCTTTGTATATTTTCTGTCGAGATTGTCCTGAGGATTTCGATACTCTGGGATACTCACTAAGAAATTCAGAAACCGCAACTTATCTTCAGTGCTCGGGACTGCCTCACTCCCAGGCACCCTTGCGAACACGGTGTTCCAGGGAAATACCATGACTCATCTGTCTCTCAGGAATTAAGGCAATTTATCAACTTCCTTTCTGTGACGCCCACGTCGCATCGGTTCTCAGCTTTCTTCTGCATTCCAGACACGGGGACGCTAAACGGACGTGCCTTTTTTGTAAAGCTGATCTCGGTATGTGTAGAAAGTCAAGTTATACAACCATTCAATAGGTTTATGTGAGTGTAAGTTCATATGCTTTATCTCATTATATATTAGAAATATATAGTTGTTACAACAGCTTAAAAGTCCTGAAATACAGCTTTTTAAAAAAGAAGGTATTTAAGGAGATGAGACTGAACAAAATCGAGTAAATAGTGCAAGTGGCCTGTCTGCGATAAAAACTGGGATGATAAAATTCAAATATTGCAAAAGTCTCCGACGATGATACAGAGCAAATGACACGTGTGAGGTCCGACGTCGCCGGACTCTGTCTCTGCAGAGAAACCTCGGCAGGCGAGCTCACCTGCCACGCGTGTTCCTTCACACGGCGCTGGGTGCCTTTGCTGAGCATCCACCACGGACCGCGCTCTCTGCAAGCGCACGGAGACCTGTCACGCAGACCAACACGGGGAACCTCGGTGCCCTCTGCAGACCAACACGGGGAACCTCGGTGCCCTCTGCAGACCAACATGGGGAACCTCGGTGCCCTCTGCAGACCAACACGGGGAACCTCGGTGCCCTCTGCAGACCAACACGGGGAACCTCGGTGCCCTCTGCAGACCAACACGGGGAACCTCGGTGCCCTCTGCAGACCAACACGGGGAACCTCGGTGCCCTCTGCAGACCAACACGGGGAACCTCGGTGCCCTCTCCACATCGCCCTGTGGCTACTCCGTGCAGGAGGGAGAAAAGGGATGAGGATAAACGGACCCAGCGCTCCCGCCCGCCTGGGCACTGCGCTTCTCGAAGGAGCCGGTCACCCGTCAAGTGACCTCCCGACTCAAGGCAACGTGAAAACTGGGCCAGGCTGAAAAGGAGGCTGCCCCCGTCCACCTCTGTGAGCGCACCCCGCCAGAGATGCCCTGGTTCTCGCCAGGCCTGGGAGGCGCGTCAGAGAAAACAGGAAGCCCCTCTGGGGGGGGGGGGGGAGAGGGACGGCCGCAGGACGGGCGGGGGGAGGGCTGGTGACCAGGGCCCAGGGAGCGTTTCGCACTGAGGCCCATTTTCCGAGGTCACCCATCGCTGTCACACTGAGGGGCTCACATTCGTCTGCATCGGAATGAGGTGCGGTCCAGTGCATGCCCGTCAAGGCCCTGGCCTCGTGTCCCCCGTCCGTGACGAGTTCTTCAGCAAGGTCGCCCCACCGGCCTATTTATCCACAAGTCACAACGCACGGGCTGTCCGTGTAGACCACCCAACATAAAAGCTGCATTCGAAGGTGTGAGAACACGTTTACCTAGGACTTCGAACCTTCCTGCTGGGCCGTGCCCGGTTCAGAGACCACTTTCTGGCCTCTTGCGATCTGGTTCGAGTGGCAGCAGAACCAGAACCCAGGACTCCCTGCCTTGTTCCATTCCCTTCCCCTGGACCCGGTTCCTAAGCTTAGAATCACCTGGAGGGGTGTTCATACAGGGTGGCTGGTCCCCACTCTGAGTCCCAGGTTCCGTAGGCCTGGGAGGGGCGGGGCAGCCGGAACTTTCCCTGCGTCCCAAGTAGTGCAGGTGCTGGGAGCGGTCAACCCCCGCACTGCTCCTGAAGCAGGGGCGCCAGACCTCCGACCCAGACCTGTGGGCACGCCTGGAAGCACACACTGGGCAGCCACAGCCTCCAGCTTTTAATCTGCGGGGTGGGGGCCGAGAATGGGCACTGGAAGCAGTTTTCCCTGGGGACACAGAGGTGCAGTTGGCGCCTGGGGAGTGAGACATGGGGGCCCCGGCCCGGAGGGAGGGGCTCAGGAGCGTGCATCCAGCCGCGGTGAGCGGAGCGGAGCCCTGCCTGCCCGCACCCTCCCCGCCGGCCACCTTCCCTCCGCGCTCACCTTGCAGGCGGCAGAGCTGGCCCGCGCTGTGCTGCCTGGTGATGTGCTGCCAGTAGGCGCTGCGGGGCAGGGGCACCATGGTGCTCAGCGAGGCGGCCCGCTCGCTCATCTTCATCTGCAGCTGTCAGGGCGAGAACAGGACACGGTGCGTCAGCTACGCGGTGGAAGGAGACCTGACCACGGGGCTCGGGCAGCGCCCGGCAACCATGCAGCGCCCCAGTAACCGCGCAGCACCCCGTGACCACGCAGCACCTTGGTAACCACACAGCACCCCGGTAAATGCGCAGGACCCCGGTAACCACACAGCACCCCGGTAACCACGCAGCACCCCGGTAACCACACAGCACCCCGGTAACCACGCAGCACCCCGGAACCACACAGCACCCCGGTAATGGCGCAGCACCCCGGTAACCGCGCAGCACCCCGGTAACCGCACAGCACCCCGGTAAATGCACAGGGCCCCGGTAACCGTGCGTTCAGGCCTGGGACATGTGGCGATCTCAAACCAGCGGAAGGCAGGTTTAATCAACTAACAGGGAGACACCTCCATATTGTGCCCATTGCGCCCCCTGGGCCTAGAGAAAAGGCTCATCCCCGAAACCGTGTGGGTGGTGCGGGTGCTCAGTGAGGTGGTGCCTGCTGATCCTGTGCCCGGCACAGACTAGGCACAGGGAGAAAAGGAGGGTCTTAGTAGAAATTGTTATTATTACTATTATTACTATTATCCATGGCAATGCCCATTTAAAGATTTTTTTAAAAAAAATAAAGAAAATCCCCACTCTACCCAGTCACCAGCAGTGCAGTACCAGACATGATAGCTGTATGTTCATTCAGTACCAGACATGATAGCTGTATGTTCATTCAGTACCAGACATAATAGCTGTATGTTCACTCAGTGCCAGACACGATAGCTGTACGTTCACTCAGTACCAGACACGATAGCTGTATGTTCACTCAGTAAAGCCAAAATAACGAGGCTCCTCACCCTGGAGACCCAAATGTCACAGCTGATGACACCGGACTTGAAGGCGAGGGGCCTCTGGGGAGGACTGTGTCCTTCCTGCCCCCACTTTTCACCTCCACACACTTATACAGCTTGTCTTTCCTTCTAAATAAACATAGTGCTTTCACATTCAAAAGGAGAAATAAAAACGATCCCAACCCCAGAATGTGTAAGTAGAGATATTTCTGCTGTAACATGATACACACGTTCCTGGAAAATGTCCCGTTCTGCAAAATGGTTGGGGAATCAGGTGATGGGAAGGCCATTGAACACATACCCCCATTAATGACCAGAGTCACCGTCACTTGGGGAACCAGCCCGGAGGCCGGGAGTTCACGGGGTGATGGAAAACAGGCGAACGTTGGGCTGGAAATGCTGCTTGCCGAGTGTTCGGGTGTGAGACAGGGGAGGGGCTCCCCCCAGCAGCGGGTGCTGAGCACGCATAGCCACGAACGGGGGACCCCCAGTCCACCTCTGGTCCCAGGAGGGCTGCAGGGTGTTTGAGGTCACACCGCCTGTCCTTCTAACTGCCGGACAACCCAGCTGTCCACTGCACCAGCTGCAGAGACGATGCCCGTGCAGCGGGAGTCGTGAGTGTGGCCCGTGGAAGGCGGTGGTGCAGGACCTAGACAAGGCCACGTCACCATGTGGGGGCAGGCTGGTGGCATAAGAGAGGCTCAGAATCAGAGGATTTTAGAACCGGAAGACGGTTCCGTTACATGTTTTGTTCACTGAGGCGTTCTCAGCTCCCAGACCGTGCCTGGTAGACAGTAGGTGCTCAGTAAATATGTGCTGAGTGAAAGAAAGACTCTAACCCATGACGTAGGAGAGCTGTCTCCAACCAGCTTGCAAAAGCCAACTGCCACCTCTTTCGGGAATTCCGCGAGCTGCTTGTGAAATGCAGCCACCATCAAATATTAGTTATAGACACTTACAGTTGAATAAATTAATGGATACATATGTGTGTGTGTGTACACACCAAACTCACTATAATCTATGCTCCTGAGGTCATTACGTTGGTCGTGGTCTCCGTGTGCCCTTCTGGTCGTCACTGTCCCCACGGGCTCTGCTGTCTCACACCCTAACACTGTCGTCACTAGGTGAGCCCGCCTGGCCCTAAAGGCAATGAACGTATGATTCTTCCTCTGCCCCGACTCTGCCACTTTACGGACAAGGACAGCAAGGGGGACGACTGGAACCCGCTGACCACCAGTGAGAAGCTAGCCTCAGGACTCCCTAGTTTGGGGCACGCAACCCAGAGAAAGACAGACGCGTGAGCCACTGCTTACAAACCTCTGCCGCGGCCCCAGCCCAAGCCGTCTCCTTCCCCAGGCCCCCTTCCTATCCTCCGGTGGCTCCCCAGCACCCCCAGGCTAACAGCCAAAACTTCCCAGCATGCGGTCCTCTGATCCTGCTACCAGCCAGTCTCATGGCCCAACACACACCCAGGTCCAGGCGGTGCCAGCAGTGCCCACCCTCACCTGCGGAGCTGTCCAGAGCTGCGGAACGGTCACCTGGTTGCACTCACCTTCTCTTCCGGGGTCAGCCCAGGAATCGCCTCCGCTGGACACTCTCCTGACATCTCTCCTCCCTAATGACACCAGGCGTTCCTGCCAGACCTCTCCCAGTCCTGCTTACTCTGACCGCTGGCTGTTCGGATGGCCGCTACACCAGCCGGCCTCCCAGGACAGACCCTGGCCTCCTGGAAGGCAGGGATCGGGCCTGTCATCTCTGTATCCCCAGCCCCTTCCTAGGACCTCCCGAGGCTTCACCAATGGAGGATGGATGAGTGGATGGATGGATGGATGGATGGATGGATGGATGGATGGATGGATGGATGGGTGGGTGGGTGGATGGATGGATGGATGGATGGATGGATGGATGGGTGGATGGGTGGATGGATGGATGGGTGGATGGGTGGATGGGTGGATGGGTGGGTGGGTGGGTGGATGGATGGATGGATGGATGGATGGATGGATGGATGGATGAGTGGATGGATGGATGGATGGATGGATGGATGGGTGGGTGGGTGGGTGGATGGATGGATAAATGAATGAATGAACGAGCGAATGGAGCCAGCCTTTGCCCAGGCAGCAAGGAATACCTTTCAGAAATAAATCCTAATCAACCCAGCCCACAGAAGCCCTAGGAGCCTGAGGCTGAACTCCTGCTGAAGCTTTGGGTGCAGGTCACACGCAGGTGGCTGTCCCTGGCTGTGGCGCACATGGTGATGAGGCTCTGCCTCCTTCTACTCTGCCGCTGAGCGGATGAGCAGGAGCAAGGCCTGGGAGAAGGTCCGCGTGTGCACAGGCACTGCGGGGGAGGGGCAGTCCCTCAGCAGGGGTGCCGCACAGCCCGACCCACTCATTCAGGCGGCAGTGTGAGCTCAAGGTGGTTGACTTCGCCCTTCAAGCTGTGCGGTGACCAGCAGCGATGCTCTCGGGGGCCTTCCTACCGCAGCCTGGAGAGTTCTGACACTGCCCAGGGGCCTGAGTAACCAGCGGGTCTAGCTGATTGGGCTTTGAAGGCACAGAGAGTGTCCCCGTGCACCAGAGAGGGAACGTGACCTTAGGGTCAGAGACCCGTGTTCCAGTCCAGGTTTTTCTCCGGGAGCTGTGTGACATAGGACCACTCCCACCCCCCCATCCCCCCCACCCCACCCCCGCCCTGGAGCCTCCAAGTCTCCTTTCCCAAAGAATGTCACTTCCAATGAGACAGTTAAACTAAACGAATGAGAATCATCCAGTTACCACACACAGGAATGGGATCCTGATCCAGGGACGGTGCGGGTGGACCTGGAAACATGCCCCGGGGGAGGAAGCCAGGCTGGAAAGGCCACACCCCGCATGACGCCATCCACAGGAAACGTCCACAAAAGGCAAATCAGACGCAGAAGCTAAGTCAGTGCTGCCTGCCAAGGCGGGTGGTAGCGAAAGGAAGAACCGCACGTTCATTGCCTACATCCTTGGGGTGATGAAAATGGTCTGCTGTCCTGGCCTGTTGGGCTCGGCGGTTAGAGCATCAGCCTGCAGTCCAGACAGACCCAGGTTCGGTTCCCGCTAAGGGCACGTACCGCGGTTGCAGTTTGTCCCCGGCCCTGGTTGGGGTCATGTGAGTGGCAGCCACTCGATGTGTCTCTCTCACATCAATGTTTCTCTCTCTCTCTTCCTCTCTCTCCCTCCCACTCTATCTGAACAAAAAATGGAAAAATGTCCTTGGGTGAGGATTAAAAAAAAATTGTCTGCAATTGGCCCTGGCCGGTTTGGCTCAGCGGTTAGAGTGTTGGCCCGTGGACCAATGAGTCGAGGGTTCGATTCTGGTCAAGGGCACGTACTTCAGTTGCGGTTGGGCCCTGGCCCTGGTCGGGTCGTGCTGGAGGCAGCCAGTGGATGTGTCCCTTTCATGTCAATGTTTCTCTCTCTCTCTCTCCCTCCCTCCCTCCTTCCCAGTCTATCTGAAGATAAATGGAAAAATATCCTCGGGTAAGGATCTAAAACAAAGAAAAACTGTTCTGGAATTGAATGTGGTGATGTTTTCACAACTCTGTGAAGACACTGAATTCACAGTTTAAAGGGCACATGGAAAAGTAGGTGAATTACATCTCAACAAAGCTGTCACCAAAACTATAAAATCAGAGAGTAGTATGTGCTCTGCAGACTATTTTTAAAAAGCATGGCACTGTGGGTTAGCGGGTGGCTCTCAGTCTCAGGGGAAGTGACATTACGGCTGAGTGACAACTGACCAAAGCCTGGTCCCCATCATTACCACCGCCAAGACCCTCCCCTCAGCATGACGGGCGCACCGTGTCCGCCCACCTCTGGGAGAGAAACATGCTAATGAGCACGACGCAGCTTCCCGGTGAGACAAGGAAAACAAGCATCCTCCACGCGACCCCAAGCGCAGTGATGGTCGCTGTGCTGTGCGCCAGGCTTGGCTGACCCTGTGCGCCCCAGACGAGGGCCACGGGCAGTGCGGAGGGTTGCCGCCCGCCCACACCAGCCGTCCTCCTCCGCACTCCAACCGTTTCTGCGGCAGAGCTGTTTCTGGAAACTGAACATCAGGCAGGATGGACCTGTCTGCTGCAGTCCACAATCATGAGCACCCTATGCCGTGTTCGC